CCGCTCTCAATGGGACCCCTCGGGGGAGGTCTGGCTGCCAGTTTAGGCCCAATCAGCACTTGGCCTAAACTGGCACTTGGACATCCTTCTCACAATCCGGGACTGCTGGCTCCTAACTGCACACCTGCCTACCTGCCTGATCACCCCTAACTGCTCTGCCTGCCTGCCTTATTGACCCTAACTTCTCACCTGTATGCCTGACTGCTCCTAACCACCTCTGCCTGCCTGCCTGATTGTCCTTAACTGCTCCCCTACCAGCTTGATCACCCCTAACTGCCTCTGCCTCACTCCTCACCCAGGACCCAGGATTCCCTCCTCTGGCCAGTTGTAGGCTTCATCCAGAAGGGCATCCGAAATGACATCTGGAAGGTCGTTTGGCTGTCCCATCTAATCAGCATATTATGCTTTTATTATTTCATATATATATATATATAATCTCTTCTGGGTCAAGCCAAGCTGAATGGGAGTGAACACTAAATCCCTGAACAGCCATCACAAATCAAAGAGCTCATCAATATTTCTCAATTTTTTAATAGTATAGAAAGAAGTATATGCTGCTGCCCCAGCAAATTTTTGTCCTGGACCTCTGATGTAGCACTACAGATAAATGATCTCCCCAAGCCTAACTTCATGAACTCATCCTACCCCAGGTCCCACTCAGAAGGCACTCACAGAACCAAAGCAGTGAAACTGCCTGTGATTTGGATTTTATCCACAGAGCCCCAGTTGAGGTGGCCAGCCCCCCTGAGGCTGCCTCACTGTGTCAAAGTGAGGTCATCAGACACTGCCTCTCTCTCTTACCTGGAGTGAGTGTTCATTGCAACCTCCTGCCAAGGCAAGATGTAGCCTCCTCTGATATGAAGGTTGATGTGGTCAAGGGGAGCCTCCAGGATTCTCCACTCACCTGTCGATGTATTGCCAGATTCCTAGAATGGAGAATGCAGGCAAGCATCTATAATAGATGGATGGAATGAATGTATGCTATACAATAAGTCCTTCCTTCCCAAGGAAGTGTTAACTTTTGGAAAGTTATCAAAATACTGCAAATTGAGCCCTAACCGGTTTGGCTCAATGGATAGAGTGTTGGCCTGCGGACTGAAAGGTCTCAGGTTCGATTCCAGTCAAGAGCATGGTTGCAGGCATATCCCCAGTAGGGAGTGTGCTGGAGGCAGCTGGTCGATATTTCTAAGTTTCTATACCTCTCCCTTCCTCTGTAAAACATCAATAAAATAAATATTTTTAAAAATACTGCAAATCGAAAAAGAAAATCTCTGATTTTCAGCTTTGCTGAAAACTCTGGAAATCTAGTCTTTTCTCTTTATTCTCCAGAAAAGGTAGAGTGTGGGGGAGAACTCAATGTGATATGGGTATCAGATTTTACCTAGTTATGCTTTTATGGATTTTTTTTATTGATTGTTCTTTTGAGAGAGAGAAAGAGAGAAAGAAAACCATAAATGTGAGAGAGGAACATTGATTGGCTGCCTCCCACACACCCCCAACTGGGGATGGAGCCCTCTACTCGGGCATGTGCCCTGACCAAGAATTGAACCAGCAACTTTTCAGCACATGGGACAATACCATGTACCACACCTGCCAGGGCATTTTATGGACACTTTTATTTAAAGAAATCTTGCAGGACTGAAAAGTTGAAAATTATTGCTTTATAAAATAGGTGCCTGGAATTCAGGAGACAACTTCCTAAACTGCATAGACAACCTGGTTCTTCACAAAACATGTTAGTTCTTACCATGCTATAGTCATACCAACGGGCTCTGGGGAAATAAGCATGGACCTCAAAAGTATTCTGAAACAGAAAAACAACAGGTCATTACAAATATCTCAGTAATGTCACTTTAATTTTCTAAATTCTGTAGAATTAACATAAAAATGGGAATTTCACTAATGATTTTAAGAGTTTGGGTAATTTTATTAAGAAAGATCCCAGGAAATTCATTTCAAACACACAGAAAAATATTTTTTTTTAAAAAAAGGTCAACTTTATAAGGATGCAAGGTGACAAGACATTAAAACAAGAAGTTAATTGAAGATGTTAAGTTTTCATTAACAAAGACCTCAAAAAAAGAAAAGGATTTCCCTGAAATATTCTAGAAGTAGTAAGCTGAACAAGATGATCTTTCAAATGCCCTTCCTGTTTCCTATATGAGAGTGGAGGGTCTATGATCTATGATGGGAACTCACACTTGTCAGCACGGGGCTGATTAAGACGGCAGGGCCCAGCATGAACTGACGGTCTATATCCCACGTTGTCCTATCTTCTCTAAACCTTAAAAAACAGGCATAAAATGTCTACTCAGATTGTTATGACTGTTGCAGAGGGTTATTCATACAACATGCCCAGACCTGCTGCTTGGGGAAACAGGCTCTACTCACTCATGGAGGAGAGGGCGGACAACAGTGCTGCCCTCAACGTGAGCTTTGTGCATCAGAGTATAGAGGTAAGGCAGCAGGGTGTATCTGGTCTGGAGGACTTTTTTTGAGTACATCTGAAAGGTTGAATTCCAGGCCACAGGATCTTGTCTCTAAGGGGATAAAGGAGCATATCACACAGATGACCTCTTTTTTACTCTATCCTAATGGTATCAGAAAAGTACCTGAAGGCACATGTCCCATGGTTAGGCTACACACCATTTCTCCTTTCATTTCTAGCCTATCCTTTCCCTCACTCTCACCACCTTAATAAACTAGAGTGTCTTGCTTCTTCCTCTCTATCATGGGCTCCTTAGTCCCCTGCTCAGGTCTAGTCTTGAACCTGCACATGTGTAGAGAGATGGGTCTCTATGAGGTACTAACCTATCTTGGATGGATTTGAGCAAAATACTCACTATTTTTAAAGACAAAGGAAATTTCTTTTATTTCAGCCCCATGGGGCACTATCAACTATTCCACCAAAAGATGTATATTCTTGAAAATCATTGGTAATCATAGTTTTTTTTTTATTAAATCTGTGGGTTTTCTTAAGAAATGGAGATTCTGTTGATTTTTATGAGTTTTCTCAACAAATAATTATGATACTTTTGAGCATTAAAAAGAAAGTTGTGATTTGAGGACACAAAACACCTGGGGCATAAACTGCTGCCTCACCCTTGTCCCGATGGTGTTGTGGTTCCTGGAAAATGGATAAAACGCCCCCAGTTGCATCCAGCGAAGACACATCTCATATTCAGCATTTCCCAAGAATCCACAGATATTTGCTCCTGTCTGAGAAGATGCAAAATCAGGGCAAGAGGTGGGACTATTGTAGGTGCAGACACACTGAATCTGACTAGGTCATTAGTAATGGCCCCAATATGACTTACATAAGGTATTCCAAAGAGACTGAACTCCATCATGCCTGCAATGAGAAGATATAGCTGTGTTGGACTAAGCAGTCCTTTGGGAGGGTAGGTTTGCCCTGTCTCTTCTGTCCCCCATTTGAAAGCCTTGGGCCAGTCATGATGAACAAATAAAAAGATGGGTATAGATTAAAACACACACCAATAGAGAACTCAGCACCAGTTGATCACACTGTCTACAAGCATGATGATTAGACACAACCCATGCAGATGAGGAGCAAACATCCCCAGGCTCTTCCCCGCCAGCAGAAGCCCCTGGGATAAGCCACACACCAATGATAGACTTCCTCAGCTGGTCCCATGCAGCTGTGTTGTCTCCCAGCCAGTGTCCTGCCCAGCGGCCAGAAGAGGGGAACGTGGAACGGGTAATGACGACCCCTCGCTGATCCGTCACCTCCTGCACAGCTCTGGTTGGAGGGGAACAAAGAAGGGGAAGAAAGTGAATTTGAGGATTGACATCCATGGAACTTCATTAAGGAGCCTAGCTTCAGCCTGGAGCATGAGGTGGCAAGGGGGCTCAATTTTAGCCAGAGAACTTCTTCTCTGAAAGCATCTGCTATTTAATAGTGACACTAAGAGTCCCCGTGAACTTCAGAACCAGACAATTGGAGATATGGCATCACCTAAAATGTAAATTTCCTTTCTTAAAAGAAAATCTAGCACTGGCCAATGTGGCTCTGTTGGTTGGGCATTATCCATGCACTGTGAGGTTGCCTTTTCAATTCCAGTCCTGGTCAGGGCACATGCCTGGGTTTCGGCCTCAACCCCCAGTAGGAGGCATGCAGGAGGCAGTCGATCAATGTTTTGTTCCCTTCCTCTCCCTCTAAAAATCAATTTAAAAAATCATTTAAAAATCTAGTTAACTAGCTGTGCATATGGGAGTAGGGAGAGGGGGTAGGACTGATGTAATTATGGAACAATTACTCTATTCCAGGTATTATATTGGTTACTTTCATGTGTACTGTCGCACTACCTCACAAGAAAGGTTCCTTTTACACTTTTGTACTGTTTGGAAACTGAGGCTCAGAGAAGTTAGATAATTAGTCAAAAGCCACTTAAACAGCAAGAAGACAGTTTTGGGATCCAAATAAAAGCATATATCACTATAGCTTTTTTGGTAATATTCACTCTCCCATGCAACTCCTCAAAAAGCAGAATCAATTTTGCACATAGAAGTAAATATATAGAAAAGATGTTTAAATATTTCTTGATTGAAGGTGGATCTTCGCCTGCAGCCTTAGTCAGAAAATACAAACGTATGGGAGAAAAATCAGTGGAACAAAAGAGAAAGTCAATTAACAGATACTAGTACATGAGGCAACACAAATATTTGCTAAATGCAGCACTGCGACTCAATAGACACAGGTGACTGATTCAATAAATGATGTCAGGAAAAGAAGCCAGCTATTGTAGTGGAAACGAACCCATTTAGGTCACTTCCAATATTTCACACCACAGTGAATCCCAAAATGGACGGAGATTGTGTACGTGTGTGCACATGTCTGAGTGAGAGATAATAAAGGCCTGACATAAGGCAGGGATGTACAGTAAGGATGGATGGATGTGGATGATGCGAACAACTTTGCTATTGACCATTTCAGAACTCTAGAAATTAACCAGACACAAAAAGAAGTGAAAAATCATATCTCCAGGAGAAACTACTAAATCTTGCCAAGACAGTGAGTTATATGGGATTTTAACTTGGTCTATTTGTAGCCCAACCCTTCTCTAGCTCAGTCGCACCAAAAGCCAGCATCTTGCAGCAAAATGAAAGGTCTGACCTTTTTTGAAGCTTTGTTAAAAGCTCCATCCCCACTGCACAATAAAATGTTTATTTCTAACTTCCCGTCCCCTGGAAAATCTCCCTTTCCAGGGTGTGGTGGCTATTTGATTAGACTTGGAGCTCAACTCAGCAGAGAGAGAAAACACCCACACACAGGGAATTACTAAAACAGTAACAACCAGTTCCCACAGGTTGAGAACCACTGCTTTAGAGTATTTAGTTTAGAAAATTTTAACTGTAACTTCTTTCTGTGACCTTTGAGATATAAATCTTTTAAAAAGACTCAGACTCTTTCTGGTTTTACAACCCAAATAAGTCTTTCCCAGGCACCTGAGAGCTCTCCCTTTGAAATGTAATCAGCAAGGAAGACAGTGCCCTGCCCAGAGTCTCTATAACAGCGACAAGGAGCATAACTTCAGCAAGGTCTCCTTGCTCCAACTTAAAACCTCCTGTCATGACAGCAGGTTCAATTAACTTTTCCTTTGAGTAAGGCCAATTAGCAAACACAGGAGACCTATGAATGCCCCACTCCAGTTGTCAAGAACTCTAAGACCTTCAATAAAAAAAATCTTTAAAAAAGCCCTGGTGGGTGTGGCTTAGTTGGTTAAGCATCTTCCCATGCACTGAAAGATTGCTGGTCAGGACACAATCCCAGTACGGGGCATGCAGGAAGCAGCAGATCAATGCTCTGCTCTCACATTGAAGTTTCTCTTTCTCCCTATCTCTTCCCCTCTCTCTAAAAATCGATAAAAATTCTTTAAAAAAACATACCAGCAAACAAAAATACCTCTCCAACATTTGTTTCAATGAAGTTGAGTTCAAATTGAGTTCTGGTCTCTCTCTCTCTCTCTCTCTCTCTCTCGCTCTCTCTTTCTCTCTCTCTCTCTCTCTCTCTCTCTCGCTCTCTCTTTCTCTCTCTCTCTCTCTCTCTCTCTCTCGCTCTCTCTTTCTCTCTCTCTCTCTCTCTCTCTCTCTGTAATAGCCTTGAATAAAGTTTTCCTGGTCTGTTTAACTGTCCAGTGAAAGTTTTGCTTTGACAAAGGAAACTTTCCTACTGATCATTATCTGATCACTGAATTATACTGAATAATATCCAACGGTATCCAAGGAAGCCAGGCTTAAGAACTGAAAGAGAACTATTTAAAAAGAGGGTATTGAAGAATTCAGTGGCCACAAACTGCAGGGGAACTGAGCAACAACAAAAACAAGGTAGGTTTTATGCCAGAGTTGTTACAGTGCATATGTAACATTAAGTCATGCAAAAAAAAAACCACAAAAGCACATGAAGAGAGAACAGTATGGAGTTTCCTCAAAAAACTAAAAATGGAACTTCCATTTGACCCAGTGATCCCACTTCTAGGACTATATCCCAAGAATCCCTATTGCATAGATGGGGAAAGTGAGGCTTGAGAAGAGAAGTGCCCGAGGGCAGAAGTCAGGCCCTTGAAAAGCAGCACTCAGCAGGCCTGGCTGGCATTGGCTCTTCTCCCCTCAGTTTTCTGTTTCTTTATATATTTCCCTGCTCCGATTTGCCATGTCCAATTAAAAATACTCCTGAGTTGGGGGTTAAATGGGGGGATGAGGACACATTTTTAATACCTTAACCAACAAAGAAATTTAAATTTTTTTAAAAAAGTACATGAAAGCATGTCAGATACACAAGAAAGAAAAAACAACCAACAGAAAATGTTATTGATGGGCTTGGTAGACAAAGACTATAAGGTAGTTATTACATATCCAAAGAGCTTAAAGGAAGCATATCTAAATAATTAACAGAAAGTATGACAATGATTTCCTGCTAAATAGAGGATGTCAATAAAGCAACAGAACTTGTTTAAAAAGGAACCAAATAGAAATTCTGGAGTTGAAAAATAAAATAACTAAAATTTACTGAAGAGACTGAGTTCAACATCTGATGTGATCTAGATGACAAAGAATCAGCAAAATTGAAGATAGCGGTCCAGTTTGAATAGCAAAAAGAAGTAAAAACAAAGAAATGTAAGCAGAATTTTAGAGACCATCAAATGTACCAACATACGTATAATTGGACTCTGAGAACGAGAAAAGAAAGAGAAAGGGGTAGAAAAATATTTGTTTTAAAATAATGGCTAGACAAAGAAGGGAAGGAATTAGCTAAAGGAGATATATGCATACCCATGAACACAGACAATAATTTTGTAAAGGCTAAGGAAGAGGTAGGTGGAGGAGGGTGGGTGTTGGAAAGGGGAGTGGTGGTGGAAGGGAGGACTTCTGCAATAATGTCAACATGAAATATTTTTGAATAAAAATAAAACAAATAAAATTAAAATAAAATAATGGTCAGAAATATACACACTGAAAACTATAAAACATTGCTGAAGAAAATGAAATGAGATCTAAAGAAATGGGAAGACATCCCATGCTGATGGATCAGAAGATGTACTATTATTAAGATGGAAATACTCCCTAAATAGCTCTACAGATTCAGTGCAATCCCAACCAATATCCCTGTTACTGTTTGCAGAAATTAGCAAGCTAATCCTAAAATTCATATTAATTGCAAAGCACCCAGAATAATTTTAAAAACCTTGAAAAAAGAATACAAAAGGCAACATACTGTATGATTCCATTTACATGTATATGAAGTGTCCAGATTCAGCAATCTATGTATATGGAAGATAGATCTGTGGTTTCCCAGGGTCAGGAGGTAGGGGCAATGGTAGAAAATGACTTCTATAGGGTTGGTATAGAGTTTCCTTTTAGGATGTAAAAAATATGTTCTAGAATTTGATTATAGTCATTGCTGTACAATTCTATGCATATACTAAATACAGCCCAACTGCTTACATTATTTTTTTAAATTAAGTGTTTTTGACATATAACATTGTATAAATTTAAGCTGCACAACATTAATTTGATACATTTATATATTGTAGTAAGATTGCCATTATAGCAATTATCAGCACCTGCTCACTGTATTTCTATTGAATTTGTTGGGGTGACCTTGGTTAATAAAATTATATAGGTTTCAGATATACAATTCTATAATACATCATCTATATATTGTATTGTGTGTTCACTACCCCAAGTCAAGTCCTCTTCTACCACCATTTATCCCTTCTTTACCCTCTTCTGCCTCTCCTCACTCCTC